ACACATGGTCCCAGGCAGTCTGGACACACAGAGGCTTCACCGATGGGGTTCGATGAGTGGGCCTCAGCGCTGTGTTGAACTGGAGTGACTCAGCCCAGCCTGCTGCTGGAGTAATCACAGCTTGCTGATCTCTTAGGGTGGAGATTAGTGTGGGGGCGAAAGCCAGATCACAGATCACAACCAACGAGCCACGGTTTCTAAATGCGCTTTGTGGCTTCGAGAGAGCAAGTCTGCCCCTGGTAATGGGAGCAGTTCCTCATGTCACTGAAGAAAGGAGCTGAGAGAGTCCAGTGATCTTTCCAGATATCTCTGTTGAACTTCTTCCAGCAGTTGAAGTTCATCAGTCAAGAATGCCAGGCCTTGAAGAGGGAAAAGTTGGGCAGCTAGTGAAAGTGGAGGGCCAGGTCTCTTGCAGGATACAGGAAGGTGGACATGAGCCCATACTGGCCTGCTGCAGATGGTGATGGATACAGGCCCTGTGCCATTGCTGTAGATAGCTTCCATGTGAACACAGCTCCATCTCTTCCCTAATGAAAGGTGGAGGGAATTTTTGGTTCTGAAATCCATTTTTCATTATCTACTTGGCCCAGTGTGATTTTGGATGGTACTTCCTTAATGGCTGGAGAAACTCATGAAAGTTTCATGAAACTCTTGAAGATAAACCTTTCAGAATTTCTTATGGTGTATTTCATAAGCAAGCTATATTTTCTTTATGCCTCACAAATCTTTAGGTTAGCTAAAAAAAGAGGGGGGGGTAACCATGTCTATGTTTTTTTTCTCTCTCTCCTTTTTTTTGTTACTGGTCCTGGGTCTTGAACTCAGGTCCTGATCATTGACCCTGAGATTTTTCACTTAGGGCAGGTGCTCTTACCACTTGAGCCATAGATCCACTTCTAGCTTTTTGCTGGTTAATTGGAGATAATTGAGGCTGGCTTTAAATTCAGATAATTAAATCTCAGCTTCCTGACTAGCTAGGATTACAGGCCTGAACTACCAGCACTTGGCCTTGTTCATGCATTTTTATATATACATGCTCACATAAGAGTCTGAAAGATCTGTTCCTTTTCAGAATTATTACATTGATTCTTGTGATTCTTATGATTCAAATATATTGAATTCACAAATGTGAAGAGAAAGGAGGACAAATGAGCATTTACTAATAAAATGAATCTTCTTAGAAATTTACCCTTCCACACTGTCTTGCCTGGTAAAATGTCTGTTCTGGGGACGACAACTTCAGCTCCAGAGGAGCCTCAGCCCAGCCACCCCCTCCCATGATTGATATTCCCATCTCCTGTCCCTTCCCTGGCTCCCTGGGGATCAGCCCTTGTCTCTTTATTTTTATTTGACTTGAAGCCAGTGGCATTGATTCCAAAAGACAGAAGAGGACCTGGCATGGCTTCTGTCCCTTCAAGCTGGCCTGCTGAAATGATGGCTAATTCCTTTTCATTTGGCCTGATACACTCGGTTTTCTCATAGTTGTTTGGAAACGAGACAGCATGGCATTATTTAGCTCTGAAAGCAGATGTCACCAAAGGTAGCCTTGTATTACTGCCTTCAAGGTCCTCTAGAAACCTCTTTTTTGCTTTTCAGTGATGCCATTTTGACACAAAGCAGTGTTTCATTACTGGCCAGAGCACTCTGTTGGGGTGCACAGTCCCTGCATCCTCAGATTCACAGTTCTGTCCACTTGCTGTCCCCCAGTGAAAATACTGGCTTTGGGACCATGACACCAGCGATGAATATTGTGCCCAAGGCAGGAAGACTGCTCAACAGAGATGCTCCAAACCTCCAAGTACAAGTGACAGACTCCATGTGGCTTAGCTGCTGTTTCCTCCGCTGGAAAATGGCTGTTTTTTTGTTTTTTCTGTTTCACACAGACAGCTGCTAACCCCGTCCCTCCCCTCCCAGGCCACTCCCTGGGTTTCCTGCACAGCTTGTGTTTGCAACAGCAAATACTGACCTGGAATGAGCCCATCACCCCTCTGGGTTTTTTTTTTTTTTCCAGGTAGGATCTTGGGCTTTTGCTTGGGCTGGTCTTGAGCCATAATACTCCTACCTCTGCATCCTTGAGTAACTGGGATTATAGGTGCATGCTACCATGCCCAAACTCAAAGGATAGTTCAGGTAATGTTTGAGGGTAGACTGGAAAGGGAAGAGGAGTGATCCAGGAGAGAGAGGTGTCAGGCCTCCCATTTGAAAGGTATATTTAAGCAAATAAAGGCAAAGTGTCCCTACCTCAGGGCAAATGTCATCCCACACCAAAGGGCAGGACCTAGTAGTATGCGTGAAGTCGATTGGCAAAATACAGAGGAGCCCCACTCTGAGAAGTCGAATCGGGAGTCTTTATTACAAAGCTGGTGACTGTGAGGGGACTTCTGTCCCAAAGGAACTTGCAGGGGGCTGGGAAGGTGGCTCAGTGGTAGAGTGCTTGCCTTGCATGCATGAGGCCCTGGGTTCGATTCCTCAGCACCACATACGCAAAAAGAAAAAGCCGGAAGTGGCGCTGTAGCTCAAGTGGTAGAGCGCTAGCCTTGAGCTGAAGAGCTGAGGGACAGCACCCAGGCCCAGAGTTCAGGCCCCACGACCGGATCCCCAAAAAAAAAAAAAACAAACCAAAGGAACTTGCAGCCTCGAATGCAGTTAATACAAAGTTTATAGAGGCGAACACCTCTAAACTAAACCTAGTGAAAGCATATTTACAGAAGGAAAGCAAGCTAGGGGGAACAATCAGGGGCAATCAAGGGCAAGAATTCCCCAGAGCAAGACTTTCCTGGAGCTTAACAACCTTTGACATACCCGTACCTTTTGGAACTAGGTGAAAAGTCCCCATCCTCCACTAAGATGCCAAGATGGTGGTATGGACAAGATGGCATTACCTAGGCCCAGTATCCATATTTCACTAGCAAGTTGAGGCCAAGCTGGCATTCTGCTGGCTGCCCTTGAGCAGAGAGCAACCTGTACAACTGTAATGGGTGCCACTGGCTGGCATGCCAGCACAATGGGCCTGTCATGGGCATTCAGAAGCACTGGGTAAGATTCAGCCAGTGTCCGTGTGCCACAGTCTCCTTAGAAACACCCAGATTGTTCTGGTAGCTGTTACTTCCAGGATATGGTGTGTTGCTGTGACACTACCGAGTTTTAAAAAATAAGAGCGATGGGGCAGGGTGTGGCTGCTTTTGCTGAGGCTGTGCATTAACTAAAGGCTGGGTACCACTGCTCCCTTGCCCGCCTCCCACTTTGTATCTCTGCCCTTTGATCTGATCCATTCCCTTCTGCAGTCTCTGTACAAAATCACCTCAGCTTCTGGAAAGAACAGATTCACCTAGAAGCATCTTGTGAACAGAGGCAAACTGTCTCTTAGACAGGTGCCTCGTTATCAGCTTGAAAAGAGCAGCCTGGGCCTCCCTGGTCCAGGACTGAGTCAACCTAGCCATACCTGTGGCTTGAGATGTTCTAACTATGCATACCTTTCTCACCCCAGATCCCAGTTCTCCCTATTTAATCTGAGACCAATGCCTGGACGTCAGGACCCCCAAGGTGGCTGAGGATGTACTGAAGTGCTGTCTTTCCCAAGGCTACCATGCAGTAAATCTGTTTTCTCTGCCCTTCACTCTTCATTTGACCACTAGATCATTGTCCAGGTGTAATGTAGGACTCCTGGACTTTGGACCTCAGATCTAAAAACCCAGTTTTCACGGATATCTATCTATCTGTCTGTCTGTCTGTCTGTCTGTCTGTCTGTCTGTGTGTATGTTCCCAGCTACTCAGAAGAGCAACTCACTGAAAGGATCTTGGTTCAAGGCCAGCCTGGCTAAAAAGTTAATGAGACCCCCATCTCTACCAATAAGCCGAGTATAGTGATATGCACCTGTCATCTCACCTACCTGGGAAGTATAAATAAGAAGACTGTGGTCTAGGCCAGCTCAGGGAAAAACACAAGATACTTCCCTAAAGATAATTAATGCAAAGAGCTTGGGCTGGGGCTCAAATGGCAGAGCATCTGCCTGGCAAATATGAGGCTCTGAGTTCAAACCCTAGTATGAAAGAAAAAGAACAATGGAACTGTGGGTGAAGAAAAGCAGTTATGTGGAAAACTAGAGAGCTAGCCCCCCTTGGGGCGTTAAGTGAATAAAAATGGAAAGTGAACATTAGGGAAACGATACTAGCAGAGCTGCCATTCCCAGGGTGTAATTACCTCTGCAGAGAAGGGGGAGGCTTTCCCGCCTTAGTGCTGTAGCGGGGATGAGGCCTGCCAGCACACCAGAGCCAGGAACAGCTGCACGTCCAGGAACGGCCACTGAACCCTGAGTGCTTCCTGGCTTTGGTTTCTTTCATTCTGGAGCAATTCAAAAGAGCATTCATTCATTCCAACAAATAGGCTGAATCAGAATTTTCTTTTCTTTTGGTGATAACTAGGATTTGAACTCAGAGCCTCCTGCTTGCTCAGCTGGCTGGCTTGCTCAGCTGGCATTCTACCACTTGAGCCATAACTCCACTTCTGGCTTTTTGGTGGTTAATTGGAGATGAGAATCTCATGAACTTTTCTACCTGGGTTGGCTTGGAACCATGATCCTTAGATCTCAGCTGTAGCTAGGATGACAGGCATGAGCTACACTTAACGCTTTTCTACCAGAAATGACATTGTTGGCCAGATGCCAGTGGCTCACACCTGTCATCCTACCTATTCAGGAGGCTGAGATGTGAGGATTGTGGTTCAAAGCCAGCCCAGTCAGGAAAGCCCATGAGACTTAACCAATAAAAAGCCAGAAGTGGAGCTGTGTGGCTCAAGGGATAGAACACTATCCTTGAGCATAAAAGCTCAAGGACAGTGCCCAGGCCTTGAGTTCAAGGCTCAGAACTAGCTAAAAAAAAAAAAAAAGACCATTGTGTAAGAAAGGAGCTAAATGAGGCTCTTCAGAGACATCATTGTGTTGTCAGTGTAGCCAAGTAAAGGACGGGTGCTCATGACTGTGTGTGACCGTTTTCTTCCTTTCCAGCCCTCGGCCACCAATCCCGCTGTCCTTGCTGCTGACAGAAGAGGAAGCAGCGATCTCCATCCAGGCATTCTGGAGGGCTTACCTGGTAAGGCTTGTATGTAGCTGTGTGGTCTTTGTCTTGGGGTACGGGAGATATCTGTCTCACAGAGAGACCCTAGGAAAACCCTCAGATGAATTTGAGAAAAGATATGATCACTCCCTCTCACACACATAACTCAGAAACTGGGTTCCTTACAAACTATCCCTGAAGGGTGGTTTAGAATTTCTACCAAAACTGGGCTGGGAAGGTGACTCAGTGGTAGAGTGCTTGCCTTGCATGCCTGAGGCCCTGGGTTCGATTCCTCAGCACCACATAAGCAAAAATGAAAAAAGCCGGAAGTGGCGCTGTGGCTTAAGTGGTAGAGCGCCAGCCTTGAGCTGAAGAGCTGAGGGACAGCGCCCAGGCCCAGAGTTCAGGCCCCATGACCAGACCCCCGTCCCTCCCCCCCAAAAAAGAATTTCTACCAAAACTTATTTTGCAGGCTGTGGGTATGAGTCAGGTCATCATATGTCTGCCTCTTGGGTGTGAGGCCCTGAGTTCAAACACCAGGACTGCTTACTAAAACTGCAACAACTTACTTTGCAATTCTCATGAAAAGAACTGGCTAGCTTCTGAAAGTTGGCCTGACTGGCCTGAATTGTCTAAAAATAATCCTATAGCTAGACAATACATAGAGGAATACATTGTGTTAGAAAAGAAGGAAACTCGGATATATTTTAAAACAGTCTGGCCTTTTCTTCAAAGCAAATCATACCCAGAAATCTGGTGGGCAACAGGTATGTAATATTATGAGTGGCTTGTGTCATCCTGCCATGAGCCAGGGGGCTTTGGAGCACATTCCCGGTGCTGTGGGTCCAGTGTGAACCTTTTCATGATGGCAATCTGCACCCCAAAGAATGAGTGACAAAAGAGAGAAATAGATAAGTTGGACTTCACGCAAATGAAAAATGTAGGTGAGTAAAAGAGAAGCCTCAGAATGGGAGAAAATATTTCCAAACCAGGTATCTAGAAGTCTACTAACCATCATATATAAAGAACACTCACAACTTAACAAGAAAAAAATATAAGCAACTATGAAACTGTCAAGGCTTTGAATGGACATTTCTTCAAAGACAATATATCAATATATATGCAAATAATCCCATGTGAAGAAGATGGTCAGAAGCCAGGAACCAGGTGGTTCACACCTATAATTCTAGCTACTCAGGAGGCTGAGATCTGAGGATCGAGATTCAAAGCCAGACTGGGCAGGAAAGTCTGTGAGACTCTTATCTACAATTAACCACCAGAAAATCAGAAGTGGTGCTGTGGCTCAAATTGTAGAGCATTCACCTTGAACTGAAGAGCTCAAGCCCCATGACTGACCCCCCAAAAAAGAAAAAAGACAAGAAAAGAATATGGTCCTTAGTCTCTAGGAAGTGTGAATCAAAGTCACAGTGAGCTCTTTGACCCACCTGTGTGACTATAATTTGAAAGACCACAAGGGCAGAGAGAACTTGGAGCCTTCGTGTATTGCTAAGAGGATGTATAATAGTATAGTCACTTTGTTTTGTTTTATTTTTGTCAATCTTGGGACTTGAACTCAGGGTTTGCCATTCCTGAGCTATTTGCTCAAGGCTAGTGCTCTATCATGTTGAGCCACATCTCTACTCTTGTATTTTTTTAGTGGTTGATTGGAGATAAGAGTCTCACTGACTTTCCTGTCCAGGCTGGCTTCAAACTGTGATCCTCAGATCTCAGCCTCCTGAGTAGCTAGGATTACAGGTGTGAGCCACCAGTGCCCTGTGGTACAGCCACTTTGGAAAACAATCTGGCAGTTCCTCAAAGAGATAAACAGAACTTCCAGCCTCATCCTTCTCTGACAAGCGGTCTGAGGACCTCTTACAAGTGTAGTCACCCAGTACTTGTCCTGTGTTGGCTCCTGCCACTCAACAGTGGCTCCTGCCACTGTGTTGTCATGTGTGTCACAGCTTCCTTCCTTTACAAGGCCAAGTAATCATCGTGCCTGGAAGTCTTAAAACCCACCAAAGCTGCCAAGATCCTCACTCGTCTACCACAATGCTAGCCAGAGAGCTCATTAAAAATGTCTTAGCTGACAGCATTCACAGAAGTGCCACATGCCAGAAGATGCTATTTGTAGCATTGTGAACTCTTCTTGGGGCTGTCAATTTATAATTAGCCTAGTAAATAGGTCCCTGATAGTTTATTTTAATTTACTTGATTGTTATTATAGAGGTGATATACAGAGGGATTACATTTTCCATGTGTCTGGTAATGAGTATATTTCCCTTCGTACAGTGTCATCTGTTCCTTCATTCTCTCCCATTCCCCCCCACCCCCATCTCTACCCACAAGTTGTATAGTTCACTTTTATCAATATCCAATGCAGAAAGTGTGCTCCACTGCTGCACTTTCCACCTGTTTTTCTTGGACTGTGCCCTCTGATAGTTTTTGATTTTTTTTAAACTAAACATGAATCACTTCTGCAGAAGCAGACATTCCATTCCCTGGTTTCTTTCAGATTGTTTCCCCATGCCAAATTGGCTGTGTGTGTGTGTGTGTGTGTGTGTGTGTGTGTGTGTTTCAATGCATTTTAATCATTATTTGCATTTAATGCATTTAATGAAATCTGATCCTCTGACAACTGTCCTTTCTGTAGCAGCCATGTTTCACAGTATCCCAGTGCTCTTCTGGCTGTACCATTCCAGATGGCATTGGTGAGCAAGTATGGAGAGAGGGCAGTGGGGACTGCTGCTCTCCATGGATCACAGTGGTTAATTTCCTTAGTGACTTGGGAGACAAGGACCAGATGGACCCACTATGTGTGTGTCTAATGAGGCCTTCTCCTCCTTTGTTCTATTTGATCCTAACTCAGTCTGGACACCCTGGTAGTGAGCGTTGGCAGTTCCCTCCTCCCAGTTCCATTCTTCTAGGCCTTGGGATATCTTGAGGATTGCAGAGGCCACCAGCCATCACCCCTATTTATGAATTAACACCCTGGTAAGTCACTGTCACAACCTTGCAAACTTAAAATAAGAATGCAACGAATGAGCAGAGACTGGGGTCTCTCTCCTCACAGTAAATGGTGGAAAATCTGTGCACTTGTACTTTATAGTAAATGTTGACAGCAGGCTGAGTGTGGATGCGACACCCCCTGGAGAAAGAGCTTGCTATCAACTAGAGGGCAGAGTTGGTGGAAAGGCCACTCCTGGATTGGGCCAGCTTGGACATGATGGCCAGGGGACCTCATTCAGGCCAGTAAGACTTGGGAGACTCCATTGGGAAAACTATCACTAGAGTAGCTGGGACAAAGCCACTATCATCACTGGGGTTACCAGTCACCAGGCTGTTGGTGACCATCTCACCACTGAGAGGAGCCTGCCAGACATGACTGAAGAGGCAACCAGAGCCAAGACTCAGGGCTCTGTGTATGTTGGGTCAGTGCATGGCTGAGTGCCAGCTACTTGGGAAGCAGAGGCAAGTGTTCAAGGCCAGCCTGGGCAACATAGCAAGACGCCACCTCAAAACAACAATCCATCTCTAGAGAAGTGTGATTATTTTGCCTGTAGACCTCTAAGAAGTGTGATTATTTTGCCTGTAGACCTCCTGTAGGGTGTCTTAGGGGCCATTGCTGGCAGGAAATAACAGACCTCAAGTCATTTGGAGGACAGTCTGCACTGTGGATCAAAGAGTCTACCGGAAGAGCATCCTGAGGACACTACATGAGATTGGTGGTGTTCACACAGCTTTGATTTATCTTACTGTTTCCTGAAAACCACTTACTTCTGTTCAGAGATCTGATCTATGGCAAACACAGCCCAAGAGCAGGATCCCACAGCCCAGGAAAGGGCCTGAAGACAGTATCCAAGGAAGGTTTTTCCCTTCCCCCCATATTTTCCTGCTGCAAGCAGGAATTCCAGCTGGAAAGCGGTGGTTTTCCACAGAGAGGAAAAGAAAGGCAGCTGCAAGGCTGGGCCATGAGGCATATCATTTTGAGGTGGGAATATGCAACTGAAGTCTTGCTCAGCAGCCTAACATTCTTGCTTATGATACTCTAGCTGAACAGAAATATGCCCCGTGTTTTTAATAGTGTGAGCTCTTGCAAGGCATGGATGGTTCATGCCTATAAATCCTAGCTAGTAGGAGACTGAGATCTGAAGATCGTGGTACAAAGTCAGCCCAGGCAGAAGAATCCATGAGACTCTAATCTCCTAATAACCAGCAAAAAGCCAGAAGTAGAGCTATGGCTAAAGTGGTAGAGCACTAGTCTTGAGCATAAAAGATAAAAGCTAAGCAAGAGCACCAGGTCCTAATTCAAGCTCTCAAATCACACACACACACACACACACACACACACACACACACACACACACACACACACAC